TTCCTTTTCCCAATTCCCCTCCCCAGGTGGGTAGGGGTCAATGGGTGACAGAACACCTCCCTAAAGCACGACATCACTGCTCTCTCCTTGCCTACAAACCTGGGTACTTCATCATGAGAGGCAAGCAACTCGGTCAGGCACGACTTCCCCTTGGTCAATCCACACTGCCTGCTCCCAGCCACCCTTTTCCTCTAGAACTGAGCACCAAAAAAGCACACTCTAACACAAGGTTTCCCAACACAGGGGTGACCATCCTGTTGCTTCCCAGGATGTCCTTTCGGCCATTAGTGAAGGTGAGTGCAACATTTGCCTTTCTCCAGCCACTGAGGATCTCCCTCGATCTCCATCACCTTGCAGAGATGAGAAAGAGCACCTTTGTAAGGACATCAGCCTGTCTGAAAGTGGAAGCTCATCTTGTTGTCCTGTCATCTCTTACAGGTCCCAGTTCCAGGTGAGCCTCGGTTTTCCCAGTAGTGTGCCTGGGCAAAGCTGCTAACACCTCCCATGACAGAGGAACGTTGAGTATCCCCAGCACCAGCTCAATAACAAGCAAGAACACCCATGATTTATCCACACCCCAGGCAGTGCCCAGGTTCCCACCTACATGGGTCCCACATCCCCCTGCCAAAAGGAGAAGCAGCAGCAGCCACAGCGGTGGAGGAAGCACACACATCCATCCTCTGAGGCCAGACCCAGCACCCACAGTGGGGGGAGATGGCCCCAGGGAGTGGGGTGCTCACAGGGGCACCCTGGCAATGGAGAGACACTCAAATGTGGCTGTGGTACCTGCAGACCTGCTGAAGGACATTCCAGGGACATATTTATAGGTCACTGCTGTCCCTTGGACGTGTGGCTTACAGGCAAAAGAACAGCTGAAATAAGTAGAGGGATTCCCCAGGTGGGGCCTAGATTTGGTTTTGACTACTTTGGTTTAAAATTGGGCCAGAAAGCAGCCCTTTCCTGAGACAGATTGAACAGCTGGGTTTCCAGACCCTTGCCATTGTCCAACCTACACCATTTTTTCCAGCTCAGCACAGCAATCAGCCACACAAGGCACCAACGACCCTCTCAGCAGTCACCACAGCTCCGTTTTGGCCCTCCACTCTGTCACAGCCCATCCTCGCCCAACGGCTGCCTGCACACCGAGGCAGCAGCACCTCCAAAAACCAGGTGGGGATGCACCGCTCCGCCTCTGAGACTACCTCCCCTCTCGGCCTCATCCCCATGTGCTGGCTCTGGGCTCAGAGGTCGCTTCACCACGGCAGATGCACAGGTGATGCTTGGGCTACAGCTGGCCATGGTCCTCATCCCCATGCTGGCACCAGCCTCAGGCAGCTCCCTCCAACACCTCCCAGGATGATCCCAGTGTAAGGTAGGGTGACACGGGGCTGGCTGGGGGTGTCAAGCCCCCAGCACACCCCACATCACCCCACTGAGCTCATCTGAGTCATATAACCACTGAATTGTTTGGTTTGTCTTTACATTTAAGATCATCAAGTCTGACCATTACCTGTCTACCACTAAACCATGTCTCTAAGCACCTCATCTAATCTTTTAAACCCCTCCAGGGATGGTGAGTCCACCGCTGTCCTGGGCAGCCCCTTCCAGTGCCTGACAACACTTTCAGTGAAGAGATTTTCCCTCAGATCCAATCTAACTTTCCCCTGGTGCAACTTGAGGCCATTTCCTCTCATCCCATTTCTTGTTCCTTGGGAAAAGAGACCAATTCCCCCTCACTAACCTTTCAGGGAACTGTAGAGGGCAATAAGGCCTCCCCTCAGCCTCCTCTTCTTGAGACTGAACCCCCTCAGCTCCCCATAATTCTTGCTCTCCAGACCCCTCTCCAGCTCCGTTGCCCTTCCCTGGACACACTCCAGCTCCTCAATGTCCTTCTTGGAGTGAGTCCAGACAAGGAAAGCCCCCATCGTGGCCACACTGGCACCGCCACTTGCTTCCCTGCACCCTGCATCCCATTGAACTCTGACACGCGTTTCACCGGAGGCATCCTGACAGTGCCACAGGAATAAAGCTGCTCTGGTTCTCAGCAGGGCTTTTGAGTTAGCACAAACCACCACCTCTTCTCACTTCCACCTACTGTAACCATCCGAGGAACAAAGCAGCACTTCCCCAGGCAGCGCACTGCTGGTACAGGAGAGCCAGTACATGCTGCCACCGGGGCAGGGGGGAGGAAACCCCCCCAAGTCACTGGAGCCACAAGGGCAGGGCTTGCACAACAAGGAGGAAGGTTTTTTTTTCTTATTTTATCTCTTTTGCATCTGTTTTATCTCGCCGTTACTGGAGGAAAAGAAATTTATTATAAAATATTACCGCTGATATAATTTATTCTCATGTCTTCTGCTCAGTATTTTACATCATTGCAAGTTGGGCTATTTTTACTGGGCTCTTCTAGCCAGCATCACAACTTAACCAAGCAACAACATGCCAAAACGTGTTTGTCAGCCCTGCTGACCACGCCTGTCTTATCAGCACACACACAGGGGTGCACGCCCAGGGCTGGCTGCGAGTTTGCTGATGCCAGCAAGAGCAGCGTGGGAAGCCACAGCCATAGAGACCCCTCCAAAGCACCCAGGTGATGCTTGCTCCAGTCTGGGGCAGTTTGTGGAGGCTGGCTGCAGAGCTGGAGGATGTTTTACGGCAGAGAGTTGGCTATGGAGGGGTGAATAAATAAAAGGAACTGCCTGAATGGGGGCAAAAAACAGTGCTGAGGGGCACGAATGCTCCTGTGGCCACGAGGTGTTCAGTGTCACATCTGCTTGGCTCTCACCAACGCCAGGTGAAGGTTTCTACTGAAGACGTGTCCCTTGAGGATGCTCAGCACAGCCCCAGGCTCCATCACTGACCACAGCCCTGCACTCTTCGGGTACTCTTAGGGCATCCACAGCAGGAACAGCAGCTCTGCCACCACCCTGTGGTCCTCCACTCCAGCAAGTCTCTATCTCACCCACCTTGGAGGGATTATTGCCTGTAATACTGACAACCTGCACGCATTTACCATTCCCGAGCCCTTCCTCCTCAGCCATCAGTAAGAGCTGGACACCCCACACTGGCTTTTCACCATTTTCAGCAGCTTTTGCTTGAACGTGAGGAAGACGACAGCAAAGGCCACCAGGAGCGTCAGGCAGGTGGGCAGAGCCAGCACCAGGTAGAGGAGGGCCAGGTCAGCCGTCTGCCAGCGGCAGCTTCGCACGATGGGCTCTGGCAGCACCCTGGGGCTCAGCGTCCGGGAGGCGAAGCTGCAGGTCACCTCCTGCCCGTCAGGGATGTGCAACCCCTCGACCCGCTGCAGGGCATCCCACCAGCCCAGCGTGCAGCAGTTGTAGGGGTTTCGGCTGAGGTAGACCTCCTGCAAGCTCTTCCCCAGCGGCGTCCGCACCACGTCCGGCGGGAGAGCCGGGAGGCAGTTGTCCCGCAGGTCCAGGCTGCGCAGCTTCAGGACACCCAGTGAGGTGGGGAAGATGGCCAAGGAGTTCCCTGAAAGGTCCAAGTGCACAAGGCTGTTAAAGGCCGAGAAGTCCATGGTGATGGAGGAGAGGCTGGTGTTCCTCAGAGACAACACCTGTAGCGTCAGAACAAGGTCCTGCAGCCACCCCAGGTCCCCAGACAGTACCTGGTGATTGTCAGAGAGGTCCAAATGCATCAGCGACGTCCCCTGGAAGGGGTGGCCACCCAGTCCCCGCAGACCACAGCCAGCCAAGGAGAGATAAGTCAAGGTCTCAACTCCCCTGATGTCCACGCAGGGGACCTCACCTGCGACGGCTGGCTGGGGACACAGGTCGACCCGGTTGTGGCTGAGGTCCACAGTAGCGATCTTCCTGGTGTAGGTGAAAACCCCAGGAGGAAGCACCCGCAGTCTGTTGGTGCTGAGGTTGAAGAGCTGTAGGTTGGGCAGGACGTCCTCAGCGCCCACATCTGCCCCCAACTCCTCCAGCCGGTTCTGGCTGAGGTCCAGCTCCGTCAGCATGGCTAAGGGGTCCCCCTCCGACAGGTGAAACGTCTCCAGGCAGTTCTGGTTGAGCTTCAGGTGGGTCAGGAAAGGCATCTGGGCCAGAAAGCCCTCCGGCAGGTACCAGACCTGGTTCTGGCTCATGTCCAGGAGGCGCAGGGAGGAGAGGTTGCTGTGGCAGATCTCATCCCAGAGGCTGACCGTCGTGACATTGGTGGAGTTGCCATCAATGAGCAGGAACTGCACCGTGACGTGTGCCAGGGATGTGCCATTAGGGAGCCGCTGGTAGAAGCTCATCTCATTGTCCTTCAGCAGCAAGGAGTGCAGCTTGCTCTGCCGGGGCAACACGGGGAAGAAAAGGAGGCGGTTGTGAGACAGGTCCAGCACCTCCAGCTCAAAGAGGTCATCACTTTCCAGAGCCAGAAACCACTCGATGACATTGTTGCTGATGTTGAGCACCCTGAGCTGGGTCAGGCCGAACTCCACTACACACGGGAGATAGTTGTAAGCTAAATTGAGCCTCTGCAGCCTCTGCAGCCCTTCAAAAGCTCGGTCAATCTCGAAGATGTAGTTCTTCTCCAGGTTCAGCTCCAACAGCTGTGTCAAGTTCATGAAGACAGATGAGTCCAGCCTCATGATGATGTTCCTGGCCACGGACAAGGACTCCAAGGAAGACAGGTTCCAGACCAAAACTGATACCATGTCCTCAGTGAGGAGGTTTCCAGCTAGATCCAGCGTCCTCAAGGCTGGCAGAGCAGAAAGAGCAGCTGCTGTCAGCGAGTAGTTGGTGAAGAGGAGGTTGTCTGCCACGGAGAGCACGTGGAGGCCTTGGCTGCTAAGGAAGGCACCAGGCTCGATGAGCTCCAGCCGGTTCTTGGTCAAGCTGAGATGCCGCAGCTGGTGGTAGGAGAGCAGAGAGGTATTGCCCAGAACCCGTATAGCATTGTCATCAAGCAGCAGCTCCTCAATATCACCTCGAAGATTTCCTGGAACGGAGCTCAGCCATCTCCCAGTGCAGTCCAAAGTGCTCTGCACCTAAAGCAAGACATGGATATATAACACTGCTCTGAGAGGTGGGAGATGAGAAAGGAGAAGTGTGGGGAGCGGAGTGAGGATGGAGGAGGTGGCTCTGTGGTTAGAGCCTCAGCACCCAAGTCCACTCCATAGCTAAGCCAGTAGCTGGGAGGGGGAAGGTCTGGAGATGCTGAGGTGTCTGGGCTTTGCAGGGCAGGACCAAGCAGTCAGAAGGGCAAGGGTTTCAAGAGATGACTTACGAGCTCGCAGACGCTGGGAGATGTTGCCCAGACTGCGACCGCCCCGCTTCCCCATTCCACTGCCAGGAGGACCAGAAGCAGGGAGAGACCAGGGAGCGGGGCCTCCATCTCAGTGGTAGCACTCCTGCAGAGATGGGGACAGAGACAAGAAGGTCAAAAGCTGCAGACCACTCAACCCAAAAGCCTCAGGTTTTCCCAGGGAGCCCATCACGGCAGCGGTGATTACTTGTGCATGGAGGCAGGCACACAGCTCCTGTTGTTGTGCCCGGAAGCACTCAGAGGCAACAGGCTCCCAAAGTACCAATGGTGGCCACCACACACCACAAGACCTGGGGTGAGACTACCCACTCCAGCAGGAGTAGCCCTGGCACCAAGCCCACCCACTTCAGCAGAGGGGGTCCAGCAAGGAGAGCCTGGAGAGCAGGAGAAGAGAAGGGACAGGGGGTGACAGCCTGGTCCTCACACGTGAGAAAGGCACCATCGTCACTGCACAGCTGCTTGCAAACGCCACTGAACTGCAACCCTTGAGCAGAGGCTTCCTCCCAGTCCAGGGCTTGTGTCCCCCCTCTCCGGTGCCAAATGCTCCCTCGGGTGACACCAACAAGGCCACCATCGAGTCCCGTCCAACACCTGCCCTGCCAGGGGTCCTCCCGGGGAAACAGAGGCTGTCCAGCATGAGGTGCCCTGTTACTAACTTGGTGGGACTGGAGCTGACGGCATTTGCATCTGGGGAAAAGCTGAACCTCAGGCAAATGAGCAGCGAGGGCTTAGTGAGAGGCATTTTCATAACTGTCAGTGCATAACTGTCAGTGTCTTCCTTGAAGAAGAAACAAGGGGGTTATTTTTGGTAGCCGGAGCCTCACAGCACAGAGGGAGCAGGGGACACATCTTGGGTTGTCTCTTTCCTTGGGACAGCCAAAAGCCTGCAGACAATGTCAGCGTTTGTGAATCTGGTGGGGATGGAGAGGAAGCTTGCACCCTCCCAAGTCCTTGGTCTCCAGCAGCACCTTGCACCCAGGCACAGTGGCAGCAGAGGGACCCTGCCGTGTCCTCACTGCACCCAAAAAATGAGGCTTTGGCTCTGGCTCACTTTTGGCCCCTGACTCCTCTGCAGCAGCTCACACTTTCCCTCACCCAGCTCAGCCTTTGCCACCCAGTGCCGGCCTCCCTCACCACCAGAGGTGTCTCCATCCTCCTGCCCCTCTCCCCGGGGCTGCGGGGATGGCGCCAACCTGGCGTGGGCAGCAGCACAGGCAGGAAACCCCTGCCGGCAGCCCCACAGAGGAGCCCACATGCAAGAGGTTCAGGAGCACCCAGGGTACTCCCCATGGCGCACGCCGGCAACAGCCCACGCAGCCACGGCTCTCACGAGCGTGGGCACTGGCAACACGTGGCTGCCGCAGGTCTTCAAGAGGGCAAGGGGGGCTCCCTGAAAACACCCAGTGAGGTTTTCCACCCCGGGGAAGGTATTGGGGGGTAGTTACTCACCGCACAGGGCAGCACGCAGGGTTCGCTGCAACCCATCCTGCAGCCGACGGCCCCTCCGGCTGCGCTCAGGGGCCTCTTGGGGCCAAGGGTAGGTGCGACCCGTTGAGTTTCTCTCCCACCCGCTGGGTTTCTCTCCCACCCGTTTTCTGGTTTAGCACTGATACAGCCTTTGCGGAAGGAGTGAACGGAAACTGCAGTCACATGGAGGCAGAAAGCGCGGCCAGGCACTTCGCGTACTGATCTCAGCGCTTACAACCCGGGTCATGCACTCGCAAAAACGGCTCCCCAGCAAGGAGGAACCGAGGGGGATGGGCGGGCAAGGACAGGGGTGCTGGGGGAAACCAGCCGCCGCTAAGGGTTGCGCAGCTTCTGGCTCTCCTGCCGCTCCCTGGGACAAGCCAGAGCTGGGGACAACCCTTGCACCATGGGTCCAGCAGCAAAACCCCTGCAACTGTTTCAGGCTGCAGAGGCGGGTCCTGCCCCACAGAGCCCTGCCCCCAACCCTGCGG